TATATATATGTATATATATAATATATATATATATATGTATATATATATATATATGTATATATATATATATATATATATATATATATATATATATATATATATCCTAAATTATCTGTATATACATAATATTATTCCCCCTGCACTAGCTTTACTAGGCACTATGCCAGGTACTCATTGGTTAGGCATTCATGGTTGTAAACATCATGTAGGTCACTGATCTGCACATATTGGCAAGAGGCCCAGGACACATTGGTTTAGCATTCCATAATCTTAATTCATGTGTATTTGAGCAATAATGTTTTTGTGGAACTTACTAAAATAGAACACCTGCCAATGGTTTTATTGTCAGGGCATAAGCGCTAATTTAAACTGAGTTTCGTGATCATATTGAACTGTTTTGGTGGTTGGTTAGTAACTAGAAGTTCTTTGAAACTCTGATCCCACTGATCCAATTTAGGTACTTTCCTGACTGATTGTGTTTACTGATAAAGCTGTGGCATCATCAGGAATAAGGGCAGTTGGTTCTTGTTTACATTGCTTCCTATATACTGTGGTTGGTGATGGTTAAATGAAGGTAGCCTTCGCCCTGCACTCCAGGTGACTAATTGGCTTTGGGAAAAGAAACTAATGGACTATTTTGTATACTATAACATAAGGCAATATTCCATTAGGATTCATGTAAGAGGAAGAAAGATTAGTCCAGGTTAAGAGTAGCAAAGAGGAGATAAGTAGTACAAGTTTTCAAAGGAAAGGGAGGAGTCAAAATATTCATTTGACAGAGAAGGTTCATACGAAACATTTTGGTTGACAGAGACACATGTCTATTTCATGTATTAGTGTTATACAATATGAATATTTTGTAAATGTAATTGGTCTTTTGATTTGGAACTGAGTGGTTTGTACTTTACGTGGTTTGCACATCTTTTTACCTGTAAATAAGAATCATCTTCATTCAAGTTGCAAATTTTTTTAATCTCTTTATCGTTCTGTCAGTTTGGACCATTCCTATTTTGTTCTCTCTTTGGCCATGTAATTTTGAAGTAGCTTACAGCATAATATGTGATAGTTTCATGAAAAGTACCATATAGTCTACCAGCAAACATGTTCATGTATTAGAGATTGCTTAACTCTTCCTGCATAGGCTTCAGATTGAAGCTATACTATGCCCTAAAATATGAAACAAACTTATTTCTATATGGCTCAGCAGTTCTTAGCGATAGTGAATTCATAATTGGTAGGTTACAACTGAAATGAGGATAACAGTAATGTACACCCTAGTCTACTCTTCTTTTATAGACCTCATACCTTTTCTTATTTGCATTTTCCACATTCTGAAGCATGGTACTTGTCAGATTGCGAGTCATCCCAACTTATATGTATTGGATTCACCTGGTATTCTTCGACTTAAAATTGCTCACAATGATATGGGTGCCAAACTAGCCTTGACAGGTCTGGAGCTGCCTAAACTTTTGTGTCGCTCTCTATTTTTTGCTCAGCTGAAGCATTCCTTTTCCTTCTCTACCGCAGGAGCTATGGAGGACTTCTTAATAGGTGAGTATGATCTTGCTCGATATTTTCTAGCTATTCTCAACTTGTCAGAGGAATACAAACGATGGGAGAAGCTAAAAGATACTCTAGATGACACATTATCCTCGGTTAGCTTGGAGAAACATGTGGTGGGCCGTGAAACCGTTCAGAGGAAACCGAGGCAATATCCTTCAGATCATACACAGGTTAGCAGTTGAAAATTTTATTCATATATGATGTCTAGAATGATTACAGAAGCATAGATTCTGGTTCACCAAACTCCTCAACAGTATCTCATGTTACTTCTTATAATTGAGAATATATTTTACTTACTGCTGAAAGTGGATGGAACGATTTAATAATGAGAGGGTTTTTTAAATCTCAAAGAGTATGTTTGATGCAGAATAATTAATCAGTTAACTAGTTTATGTGGGTCAATTAAATGTTATCTAGTATCAATCTTTATCATAATGTTATTCCGACATGCAGATATGATGGTTGAAATTCTGTGCAGGACTTTATTGTCAAAGATGTTCGTCAAACCCTATTCAAGACTATTTCTTCATTTGAGGGACATTTGGAAGAGGAAAATAACATGGAGAAAATTATTGAATCTCAGTTTATAGCGCTGCAAGAGGCTCTAAAAGTTTCTTCGGAGTCAAGTGAGGACAGATATAAAGCAGTTGCTGTAAAGTTGTTGAACCTTTATCGAACTGGAAGGCTTGGCCGTTATACTTTGGATCTTGTTTCGACTGAAGTTTGACAACTTAACATTTGATAAAATCTTACTTTCATGAGAGGTATCGCGTCGCATCAGATTGCAAGATAACTGGCTTGGGGTGAGAGACGCCAGATTGTTTGTGAGGGCTTGTGCTCCACTGAAATCAGCCAAACTAAAATGTGAGTCATCCTTTACCTTTCAGTAATTGCTTTAATTGTCTTATTACTTGATCTTTATCTTTATACCTATTGTTTAATTGAATAGAATAGAATAATATGTACTGTTTTATAATGTTATAGAAGAAGAAAATAGCTCTGTTTGTCTCTGGCACTCTCATGGACCATCGGATGTTTTCCTTCCACCAAGTTTCTACATTGTCCTTCATTGCATGTAACATTAGAGCTTATAGCATATCTATACTGGACTACTATTCCCTTCCTCCTCCAGTCTTTCTTTCTCTCTCCTTCTAAATTCGACCTCCGCAATGACGAGCTCAGCCTATCTACCATCACTAGCAAAGAAGCAAAGTTAGAAAATGCCATCTTGCTCGATGGTGGCCGAGAGGTCTCCCTCGAAGCTGCTTCTTTCATTCTCTGCTATTCCTTTAGATTTCATTATCAACCATAGGAAACCTTAACTATGATGTACTTTTTTCTGCCAGGTCTCATGTTCACACAGCATAGTTATGGTGATTCGATAGCATATCCGGAGAGCTGTCTTGTGCTCCTTCCATCTCACTTGTACGGCACAAATGCCGCATGGGATATCAAAGATAGAGATTTAAATTGATCGTGGAATCTCAAGAATAGAATCCGGTGAGCAAAGAATCGTCCCTTTCCAGCTAGTCTTTCTTGTCATTGTTTCTTTCTGAGCTAAAAATTTTAGTCGTCTCAAGGATTGTATGGATCTGAAACATAATGACGATGGTTCCCAACACGTGTAGCCGATCCAAACTATGAACGCCAATGGTAACTGCTGTAGTATCTGACTTTTATCATTAATTAGATAGGGGTTTAAGTATCATATGTTAATAGACTCGAGCATTACCTTTTGGTATTTCGTCAATTATATATGCCTTTGGAAATATCACACAGAAGAATATATGCGAGGACAAGTCAGGAATATATACGCCTCATCATCAAAGGCAAAGGTTCTCTCTTTACTTCGTTGTCACCCACGCCAAGGGAGGAATGAAATAGTTCAGCTGAGAACAAAGAAAAGAACCGCCCGCACGCTATCCTTCCATCTCCTCCATCGCTAAAGAACCACCAGCAGCAGCACACCGAGCCTAGCCGACAGCCACAATGGCTCTCGATGACACCGTCATCGCCGGCATCAACTTTCTGGCCGTGCTTCTCTCTGTACCTGTCATCGGCATCGGCATCTGGCTCGCCATGCAGACCGATAACTCCTGCGTGCAGCTCCTCCAATGGCCAGTCATCGTCATCGGCATCGTCATCCTCCTCGTGGCTCTTGCGGGCTTCGTCGGTGCCTTTTGGCGCATGCCGAGGCTTCTGCTCTTCTACCTCGTGGCCATGCTCGTCGTCATACTCCTGCTGGCGAGCCTCGTCATCTTCATCTACGCGGTCACCGTCAATGGCTCCGGCCACCCGGCTCCAAACCGAGCCTACCTGGAGTACCGCCTGGAGGACTACTCGGGGTGGCTCCGGCGGAGGGTGGAGGGATCATACAAGTGGAACCGCATCAAGAAATGTCTGAGCTCCACAACTGTGTGCGCGGAGTTGAATCAGACGTACAGATTGGCTGAGGATTTCTTCGGTGCAAGGATGAGTCCCTTGCAGGTGAGTGTGTCGACATCGGTGCATCTTCTACTTCCACTGCCTCATCTATCGATCCATGTCGCCTTCAATATTCATCGCTGCTGCAGTCAGGATGCTGCAAGCCACCGACGGCATGCGGGTACACGTTCGTGAATCCGACGTACTGGATCAGCCCCATCAGCAGCACATCGGACGTGGATTGCACGCTGTGGAGCAACGACCAGATGGTGCTTTGCTACTCGTGCACGTCCTGCAAAGCCGGCTTGCTGGCCAACCTTAGACGAGAGTGGAGGACAGCGGACGTGGTGCTGGTGGTGACCCTTGTGGCCCTCATCTTCGTCTACGTCATGGGTTTCTGCGCTTTCCGGAACGCCAAGACGGATCAGCTCTTCCGGCGATACAAGCAAGGTCACAACTGATCAGCCGAGGCTTTTAGGTCCGCGACAGGTTTTGCGCCGTGGTGCTATTGCAGCGAGGTGGTGAGGTGGTCGGTGGATATTCCTGGAGTTGCTGGAAGGCAATTTCTCGTCCTTTGATCATTGCTCGTAGCACAACTAATATAATGCTTTTGTAATCTCATGTCTAAGATTTAGCTTTTCCTTTGGCTATTGGATCAAAAAGTATTATTAGAAAAAATATTATTGATATTTTAGTTAGTCCAATAATATTATTAAAAAATCTGGTTACGTAGAATTATTCGAGATGTCTTCGAGGTAGGAACTTTGAGCACCTTGGGTGCCATATGTACAAAGACCAAGGTTAGGAAAGGTTTTTTTATTTTATCCTTTTGACGCTAAGTTAGTAGCTCATAAGTATATAGGAGAATAGTTAACAAAAGTCTCTTTTTTTTTTATATCAAAGGTGAGTTTTTTTATTTGATGATAGAAAATATAAGATCAACTAATCATCATTCGCTACGTAAATATAATATCCCAACTTATGTCCTCTTATCCATAAGGGTCAAGGTCCAAAAAGTGGCTCAAGTCAATTTTCGAGCTATCTAGTTATCGAGATACCTCCCAAGAAGACCAAAAGTAGTTTGGATCGATTATAAATTAGCTCTCTTGCGGACAATTCAAGTTAGTCATCAACGTATTCCAAGAAGATCAAGGGACAATTTGAACTAGTTACAAATTGCCCCCTCCATGAGATTTGCACGATATGTTTTTCCCCTTCTGGAGGTTAATATATTACCGACTTGAACATTAGAGGAATTGGCTCGAGAGGACCTCTCACCTTATTCTTTGTGCAGGAACAAGATTAGAAAGACCCTGCATCACTCTAGATGACTTCTCATACGTAGATCAGGGCTATGTCGTGCTGATACAAATATCAATGATAAATTTTCCTAATAGCTTACAATTATCTTTCTCATCATAAATGGCAAGAAGGAAGCTTGCGATCATAAATGGCAAGAAGGAAGCTTATGATTGTCTTTCTCATCATAAATGGTAAAAAGGAAGCTTTGCCTTCTTTTCCTCTTAGGGTGCTTATGTGGCAATAACATACCAGATGATTAGTCAAAAATATTTCCCGTATTGTTTGTCTTCTTTCCGAAGGTATGTTTTGGGGCTCTTTTGAGATGAGCTCAAAGCACGACATTTGGTTCATATGACATGTGAGTGTTCGGGATTCATCGGTCAAGTTATCCTGACATATTTTGCCTTATCCCTTTGTTATTGCAATTTTATTTTGCTTTGATTAGATTTTTCTTGACATATGTTTCAGGTGCATTTGGCCTTGTACCTTTGCTATGTCAGATTTCTCGTCACACGAGTTGAGTTTTCTCGAGTCACGCATCTTGGATGCATTTTCCTCTGTCATGGTGAATTTTTATTTATGCGGGATGAGTTTTCTTAACTCATGCATCTCGGATATATTTGACATCGTGCCTCCACCATAGTGGATTTATCATTACACGAGTCAGGGTTTTCTGACTCATATGTCTCAACGCATTTGACTTTGTGCCTCTATAGTGGTGGATTTCTCTTTATGTGGGTCGAGTTTTCTCGACTCAAATATCTTGAGTACATTTACTCTTATGATGTGCGATTAGTGCAAATTCTCCGGGAGAGTACATTTTCTCTCTTCGAATTGAGAGAGAAAAATTCTTCGGGAGAATCCGATTAGTGCAAGACTCGAGTAGATTTCGTATGAGCATGATAGTACCATACTCGATATACGGTCTCTAGGATATTAGATGAATGAAGAATTATAGATATATAGTAACTAAAGACAGATAGGTCTAATGGATTGGATCCCCCTATATCATCTAAGACCCATGGTGTAGCAACCTAATATGTTTGTAATCGATGAGTCAAGTAAATTATTATAAAGATAATAATTCACTGAATAAGAAGAAGTTCTGATAGGTACGACTCACAACCAACTCAGTATTGTGTTTAGAGTGTCACACGGGTATGGTAAGTATTGTAACAAGTAAAAGTTTGGATATGAGATATCTATCGACCTCTTATCATATTAGATATCTAATAAGCCTCTAAATCATTAAATTATATAGATAAGATCTAATAAGAGTTAATAAGAGATTATTGGGTAGAGATCCACTAACCTAATATGGTAGAATATATTAGAGTTAAGTGCTAGGAACCTCTATACATATGAAGGACCAAAAGGTGGCATAAACTAGTCTCCTCTTGGCCGCCCCTCCTATTCTCCTCTCTCTCCTCTCCCCCTTAGCCGATAGCCATAGTTTGGAGCATGTGAACAATAAGAATGGTCGATCCTTTCTTAATCATAATGCAGCCATGTGGTGCGCATATAGAGGTAAATCATACTACGATTTGAGAAGCGTCATCACCCCATTTGTCGTGTGGATCATCGTTAGAGAGGAGGACATTAAACCTCATTCATCCTCTCCTATGGATCTGAGATTTTTCAGGGATATACGATCTCCCTAAGTAACTCACTTGATATGAATAGTTATCGGTTTTGTGATTTTTTGCATACTAATCTTTATACGAAAAGCTGATATTGGACTTTTAGAAATCTGTTTTATTTTCTATTTTCTGCTATGTATGTGATACTACCTAAGGTTTCCCAACACTTCGAGTATAGTAATGACCTCTTCGACTTTGACCACTACTCACGAGCCATCGTTTAAGGTGCCGAGCCCAACTCAATCCGACCACCATACTAGCATTGCTAAACCAAAAAGGAAGCAAAAGATCATCATGAGGAAGGTGCCGTGTCCTCTAAAGAGTGAAACTTGAGGAGGCAGTTCCCAATATAGAGTCTCCCACCTTCGTAGCATCGAGCCTTTTGAGGGTCATCAAAGTACTCGAACCTCTTTGAGAAAAGGAGAAAATAGATAAAGATAAGTGTTCAATTTATACATGGGTAAGCCCTTACCCTTTGCAGTTATTCAAATAATCGACCTACTAAACCAGGTCCCAAGAGCACCATAGATGGGAGGGTTTACATGAGGAGCAAAAGGTGTGGAGTGATGGTGTGGCCTTAGAGCAATACTATTGTGGATTCTTGTATCCGATGGTGGTGAAGTAGATTTATCATTCCCCTTCAGAGTTTCTGATCAACACTTGCTTCCGCAATAAAATGTTGGTAAGTTAAGTCATGACTAACTCCTTCGGATTCACTTCACTCATCTATTTGTTTGTGAACTGTAGCACCACCATGATGTAATAACCCATATCAACTGTATACTTAATGCCACTTCTGTTATTCATTAGTAGGCTCTTGCAATTGACAATCTTCAAAAAGAGGCCGAGGGGCCGAAGAAAGATGGAGCTCTTGTTGCTGTTGTCGAG